TTTGCTGACCGGAAGGTCCGTGGTTCGAACCCGACCTCTGCCTTCCGACTTCCTCTGTCTAGGCTTGGGCAACCTGGCAGTATCCCAGCCCTCGTGCAACCTCCGGGTGGCATGGCAGTTAGGCACCGAAAGGGTGCTACAGCTGAACGGTACGGTGTACTGTCCTGTACTCTCTTTAAAACGGCTTTGGATACACTGAGAAACGTACCCTGCGATCGGCTTGTTCATAGTGGTCACTGCTCCATGACGAGACCCCAGATGATCGGTCGTCAGTGCCTCTTCAAATGTCCAATATATCCTGGTCTGATGATGCTTTTCACAAAAGGTCTCAACAATGGACACTGACTCGGCCACATGATCAGCGCGCGATCGACTGTATTCCTCGTGTGTCCCTCGCTTCACATCCACTGTTAACCAGGTCAGTCGATTTCGGTCTGCCATCGAAATAACGAAATCCACAGAGTCCGGAGTGTGGATTTCCCAACTCTCACTAGTGTCGGGAATCTCGCAAGCAAATAAATCGGTGGATGTGAGTAGAATGATCGTAGAAGAATCAAATGAAGTAGAGTTCGTTCGAAGGACTAGAGTATTTCCGTTTAAATAACAGAACCGTAATCTGTTCCCTTTATTTTTTTCGTTGGCTGAAATTTTTCACGCTTTACACTGGGACATTCACTTTCAGGCAACTTCGGCAGTGTTTCACATCCCGATACGTCAGGTCATTCTTTGTTTGTGTGAGCACGGTGCAGCAAATATGGATAGTGTAGTCCATTAGCTGGTCATTATCTGGCCACTGCGTGTCATTCTGTGTACTAGTTCCGTGTCTTTGCCCCAGAGACTAGTTACTATGTCGAATGGAGCAGATATGAAGACCATGGACATTCCAACAGGTGGAGAGTGTTTTGCTGTCTTGTGGTTGTTCTCTTATTTAGAGAGCCGGATTATATATATAGTCCGTAAAAAAATACACGTTTAATCGACCTATGCTTAAACGAGCCGCATTGTAATGATTACGTTCCACGAATAAATGACCACCCGAAGATGAGCTACATCTAACATTCCATATGCGTCTATAGACACCAACGATTCCGAACGAGCTCACATGAAAAAATGAGTCAGACTGAGACAAACAATATCCGTTTGTATGTGCAGTTCGACACTAGCTGCACATACTGCCGTGGGATATTACGGTTCCATATTACTGTATTCTGTATGTATCTAGTATTTGATTTGCGAACAGTTTGAAAAAGCTACCTTCAACCGTTGTTCAAAGTACCACCCAACTCTTTCGTCTTTCCGTCCGTTTTCTCAACGATTTAGACTGCTGTTTTCTCATGCTGCTTATTACCTGTACGCTGAACCTCTTACCACAAGTGAACTATTCCTTACACCGGACATTCAGAGAACAGGCGAAACATCTTTAAATATGAGCCACTAGTTTATTAGGCAAGGTGAATGCACGGTGCATCTGTCCTACTGGTGTATCAGACGTCGTTAACCAGATAACGGTTTTCAAAATGATATATTGCTTTGACAGATGCATGCTGATTACTTAGATGATTTGCACTAGGGAACAGCTACTTAGCCTAGCTGTTTGGTCGTTTGTATTCATTGACACTTACTCATGCTATCTGTTTGCAGGGCAGTCGTCACCCGCTTCCAAAACCGCGATCTTCGCCATCTGCGAGGATAACTCAACCGAATACCACTTCCCACGGGGGGCAGAAGAATTCAAACTCAACTCTCCCTTGTTTATGCGACAACCTACCATACCCCACTTACACGTTGCCTGGCTTTGGTGGTAAGCAGCGCAGGATTAACAAATACCCTGATGATAACTTGTGCTCAATACCCCGTAGCATACATCGATCGCGGCGACAGAAGCGCATCACAAAACCCATTTCTACGCCACCGTTGCTGTTGGTACCGCTCGGTCGAACACATCAGAGCCTCCGGGGTTCTGCCAATACAAAGCATGAGCTTGCAAATCGGAAACAAAAAGCTCGTCATATCCGCGGTGTATCTTTTGAGGACGTTCCCGTCCCCCGATGTTCATGCCCACACTTCCTTCCAACAGAAACAGAACAAAATCTCTCGTTTAAGAAATATCCGGTTGTTTGTTCTACGGAATTTCGTCGAGAACGTTCGCGATTTTATCCTGAGCCCCACTACTTCACAATGCTCTATTGTCACTCAAACAACCGTCGATCTCCGCTGCCGCCAATTGGCTTCCCGTCTCATCTATCATCCTCGTGTTCGTATCGTTCCTCCTCCGACTTTTCCGGCTTCTCGAAATCTACCTCGGATCTCTCGGACACACTGTCCCTCGGGGACTATTCGATTACTTTGGATGCGACTGACTAGCGTCTCTGTGTCTGCTTTTCAGTGGTTGTCAGCTAGATCGTTCCAGTGTGAGATGACCACGTCACTGCATAGATGGGTACGTGCGCCTTTTCTTCGTTCATGCATTTCTACGCACTAAATTGTTATATTCTGTGCCAAATCACAACCTAAAACCGACAAATACAGACGAACGATGGCGAAACCGCGATATTTGACCCTCGACTTCAAGGTTAGCCCCATCCAACTCCATATCAGTGGGTTGGGGCGGGAGTCACAATTATGTGCAATAAGCAAAGCATAGCTATGTGAACCGTGATTATTCAATCCATTTAATCTTGTTTAACTTGCCAGTTTGTTGTTTTGTTTCTTCTCTTGTTTGTTTTTCTATTTCTTTCAATGTGGAAATAAAGCGCGAAGTGTATGTTTAGTATGATGTTTTATTATTCGTATGGTATTGCTGTGTATCGAACGAATTTCCAGTTCCCAAACTATGAAACACATGGTTCAAACTGCCCAGCTTCTGTTCATGGGCAATTGCGGAGGTCTCTTGAACCGATTCAGCGTAGCCGTTATAGGAAGCTGACAAGCTACGGATGTGGATGTCTGCATTGAGTGGCGATTTGAGTGAGGATAGTGCATCGAAGGCGATGGTCGTCATACACGAGCGCCAATGAGTTCTGGAATGATCCCCGCAAATCACCCTGACTACTATTGTGTACCGTTTCAAGTAGTTGACAGTTAGTCTATTGAGTTGGCTGATTAGGGCTTTCATACTTCGTTCCTGGATCACCGTCTGGTTGGCTGTGGGTCTTTGCCACATAGTATGTAGCTGAGTAGAATGGCTTTGCTGAACAGACGATGAACCAGGCTAAAAACAATATAGTACCGAGTTGTTTCTCCGGAAAACCAGCGGTGCGACGCCGCGCTACGAATCCTCTGTTTTCGGCATACGTTGACGATTTATTATAGGCTGATGGTGTCGTCCATCTAGCGAATCGGGAGTTCGTGGCTGACCTTTGGCGGCGTGCTACTAACTGAGGGAAGAAAGGGTGCACTTTCTCTTGGTTACGGCGTACAGATGCCACTTATGCCAAGCTAAGGTGCTGTCAGGTTTATTCGGTCTGGAAAGAAGTATTGATGAAATTAGAGAGAACATGGAGTGCAGCTAATGGCAGATTAAAAGTGAAAATTCTGGTTAACACATTGTGAGTGACCAAGGCGCAACCAGTAGGCCTGGTGTGGTCAAGAAATCCAACATTTGGTGAATTTTTGTTCCTTATGAACGTTTATCCGAAATTCCCCCGAAAAAAGAAAGACAGAAAAGCAGCACAGGATTTCGTTTGATACCCGATCGATTAACCTTGGCAAATATCGTGCCATTGCTTTCAACGTTGGCCGAGGATTAGACACATAAACGAACTTTTAACATAGCTGACAGGGTTACACTACAAATAAGAAACTGGGAATCACGGTCCATAGAAGTGTAATGTGATCAGTTTTCTTTTTTGTTCGGAGAACAGGGAGGCCTGACCACCGTAGTCCACTTGTGCGGAGTAACAATCAAGCAGCTGGTGTAAGGGGCGGGGATCTTGTCAAGCATAATGTGGGAAAGGAGCTCAGTTGGTGCGTCTAAAGAAGCACAGCGGGTTCAACACACATACAACAGTCGTAGAAGAAAGGATTGATACATGGACGGGGGTGGAAAAGGGGACTTCGGTGGCCACTTATCGGCATAAGTGGTTCAACAAGTCCTCCGCGAGTTTGATCACGCAGGTTTAGCGTATAGACGTGTCCATTCGCGTGCTAACATGGCGAGAAAAAACGTCAAGCAATAGAGCATGAGCTAACCAGAATCTGTATATTCTGATACATTTTTATTCGCGTTGGGCAGTATTGGATCCGAATCGGAACGTACAGAACCCAACATGTGATTAGATATTCCGGAAATAAAAGTTTAAGCATACACAGGATGAACAAAAAGTATATGCTCCCAAGTGGAACTGAGCAACGAACCTCCCGCGTGGCCGACGGATACTCTACGAGCTGAACCACCAAAGGGACTGCCGAAGTCAAACTTATGCACGTGAAATTCGCACATGCGGACTTGCGTTTAATATGTGGCACAACGGTTTTGGTCTTACGTAGCAAGCTCCATTTTTCTCGGAAGCTGGCAGGCAACCAGTTGACAGGTGGTACCAGTTACTAGTTATTTGTGTCAAATCTCTTTAGAGACAGCTTAACACGTACGGACGATTAGATAGAAATTAAGTCAAACATATCGAAGGGTTCCTGAGAAGAAACCGGAGCCTTTTAAAAATATGATCCAGCTACAAAACAGCACCTACCTTTCTTCAGACAAACCGAATGGTTACTGAGTACGATGGCCTTGAAACAGCGACATTTTATTAAATATATATAATATCTTAACCATGGTACTTTTATTAGACGGGGCATCGGGTTGCTGAACACTTTCGACAACCCATAACTGGTTTCACCCTTCCTGGGAATTAGCTAGGTGCATTCCCCGAGTTCCCGTCAAACTTGTTTCAAATTTTATTTGGCTAGCCAACCGAAACACTTACGTACATACTGCAGTGGTATTTCAAACGTAGCCGCTTAACAATCACTTTAGGGAATGTTATTCTAACCTAACAACGTCAAGGTATACAACAATGCCCAAACCCCACGAAAGGTTTACAGCCATCGGTCAATCGCCTCCCAGTCAAAATGAGAATATTGAAAGTCTCCGCCTACTCTCTAAATGAAAGTAGTCTGTATAGAAAGAAAAATCCCCGCTATTCCTGCCGAATACCTGTCGATGAGCGACCATCACCAAAGTTAGCGACAGACGTAATTGCGGCTGGCTAATGTGGCACGATGTACAAGTGCGAAATAAGCATATCAAGGGGCAAATGATCGCTGACTAGAAGCAGGTTTTTCAAACTACTTTCCGGATTTTGCAAGGCTCCTCAATAGCACGCCGACGATGAACTCCAACAGGGAATCAACAGGTTTTCGTGAGAGCAGGAAGAAGTACATAAATAGTTCGCCGACCCCAGCAGCCGTTTGCATACAATCGGAATTAACGACATTTAACACATAGTTCGGAGGGCGAACACAGAGGTCAACGAAAAATCTACAAGGAGCAAAAGTCATCATAACCTAAAACGTGGTGAAGAAAATTACTAGGTCCGTAAACGTGATTCAATATCGGTCTTACCAAGAAAAGGTAGGGGGATCCCGTCACTTCAGTAAAGCAAATTAAGCGATTGCTTTTTAAAAGCTTATAGCTTTGGGTCTTTTCACCTGTTGCAATCCAGCAAGCAGGGAGCGACTGCACTAGACGAGATTGTAAACCTATTAAGTGCTAAGTTCTTTGAAACGTGCTTAGATAACAAACAATCGGTTCTTCCAATGCATCTTAAGCACGCTGAAATCAAATTAATTACCAGACGTATGTCTCAAGCTTGATTCAGAATTTATCTAAGACCTGATGAGAAGTGAAGTATATTAGTCAACCACCATATGGTGCTCTTTCCTGCACTGATTAAACTCACTAAGACACTTGAATTTCAAGGTGAGGAATTACAACCTCATGAGAAAAATGACTAATCACTTCAAGCCGGTAGTATTACCAACGCTTCACAGTTCGGTCCCCTTCATGTGAATCAAACCACTCGAATGTAGTTCAATAGTTTTCTTTCCGAGTGTGGTACGCACAAGACAATCGCATGAGATGAAGAAAGTCAGTGGAACCAAAATCAACAAAGTCATGTCAATACAATCACACCAGTCTTCATGCAAATGAACAAACCTCAATCTCGGACACTCATTAGCAATGTTTACTGGGCAATTGTTGTGAGTAGGACAGAAAGAAAAAGTAGGTGTTCCCAGAATCGTCAAGGTGTTAGTTATTTGCCACTAGTACTTCGATGCCCGCTGTGACCGACTCAAAGTGCTCTACACCATTAGTGATACTTTCATTTCAACGCACGAACGATCCCATGAGTTTTGCGGCCGACATATCGTGTTCGAGGTTCGCCTCAAGTGAAATATCAAGAGGCTTGTGCAGTGCTATGAAGGCGTTGCGGAATTGACTGAGTCTCTGTACTTTTTTGGTGTTGACAGCTAAATGTTCTGCCAGTGAAAATCGATACGAAAAGACAGTCACTAATCGCTCAGTTGACGGTGGTGTGCATGTAATTGAACGCACTCCACACGCATACATTTTCACTCCGCCTTAAAGTTGAATCTATTCACCAGATCTTGAGACACCAAGGTTCATAGTGGAATACTTTTGGGTTAACAAGAGAGAATCATTGTTTGTTAAAGATTCAAATATGTAGGAAAGGCGTTCTCGAGTCCGTGTGATCATTGATCTTCAGAAGTCAGCATACATGATAGTGTAATGGAAATGTGTCGTTTCATGTGTCCCAAATTAACCCTTACTTGGTGTTGTTACTTCGAGTTAGATCGAGTAGAACATTAATAAGGAATATTTGAATAGCGATAGAAGATGATAACTTGCGCGGTTTTAGACGGTCTTGTCGACGGCAGTACGAGGCGTCAACATTGGGAACTCACAATCCAAATCCTGTCTGGAAGACATCTACGCAAAGTTTGGTTAAGTTGATCAGAGAGGACGAAGCGTTTGACTAGGGCCTTTTTTGTAAACAAAAGCCTGGCCTAAATAGTGCCATCAAAAACGCTTCAAGACCGGTCAACAAACAGGGTCTCGCACTTGTTGTAGCTTGTTGATGCTGCAAAAATGTCAAGCCCGTGGCCAGACTCATAAGATAGTTAGCCATAGATGAGGCGATGTTCCAACCAAACGTAGAATGATGACTATTAAGTTGTTTCTGTATTTGAAGACGTGTTCTTTTCACTGGCACCTTAGCATCCTTCCAGATCTCCCTTTATAAATGTTGCCACTTGTAAAGAGCGTTACCCAGTCCGCTAAGGCACGGTGATGAATGTACTGTTGAACATGTGATGCGCGCTTGTACGAGCGATACAGCACAACAAACAATATAACAAAAGAACCAATTATGGTGTAGAATGCGAGCGTAGTGGAGACGACCGTCAGTACGTTAAACAACTGCGGAAACCTATTGGTCACACGGTCCCCGCACATCTATTCTCGTTTAAAAAAGCCTCAGCTGCTCACCTTCTAATTGATAGGTGACTTGGATCGTAAGCAAGCTCGTAACCATGGTGATCTGAGGATTGGTAGGAAAGGGACGGTTATGTTTGCAGTCTCAGTCGTTTGCTCGGTTTCACACTTACTCAAAACATGGCTAGAGATAACAGGATGTGAAACGATACTGTTGGCTAGCTATTGAATGAGCGTTAAACTGACATGGTGGATTCAGTTGAGTTCTCTGCATTTAACCTTATACAATATATTTCACATGAGCTGTACAAACAGGAGTACATTTTCGATTTCCTCGAAGCCTCCTTACATGAAGACGGATACTGAGAGTGAAGTAACGTGATGCTGCCCCGTGTGGCCTTCGTATGTAGCGATTTCTCGTGCGTTACGTTTCTTTGGCGAACTTACTTCTTGTGGACAAACGGATGTCTCCTCAGCTGGAGACTGTTGATTGGATACCATATGACCGCAAAAAGTTCTGCATGTTTCGTTTGACGCTTCATCTGTATTACTATCTACAGATATCAACAAAATGTTAATTTTGGCCGATCGGTTGCGGATGGTAGAGTGGGCTACGCAAGCGTTGATTACCTTGAGAAGCGAGAAAAGCTGAGCAAACACGTGATCTGTAAACAAAGCTTTGTCACCAGAAACTCCGGAACAATGCAAATAGTTTGCAAAGGACGGATATCGTCTCCGTAGTCGAAGCTCGGCTCACCATAAAAAACTCTAGCCACCTTTAGAGTGTGTGGAAAACGATCGAGTATATAAACCCGCTCACAGAACCAGCGAAATGTAATGGCTTCTCAAGCTGCTACAAAGAAATTGGTTGAGAGTTTACCGGTGATTGGGCTACCGTTTGATACCGCCCAGAGCTGCGGGTACGTTCTTCAACGCCTGCAAGAATGGTAGGCTAACAGCCATAACTTCGCGTGACGGATTTCATGCTGATAACTCCAGGACTTTGTCAAGCTGTTCCAATGTATGATGCTGAAGTTTATGTGATACAGTGACAGGGTCGCTCGGACGAAACTGTTGACATTCGCCCCCAATTTGCTTCGGTTATCTATTCCAGATATCCGATGACCTATTGCAGCAAGCAGTCATGCATAGCTTCTCTAGTGAGCGTTTGGGCGAGATGGGAAGATGCTGCACCGATTTGAGAGTAAATTTGTTGGGTTTCGCTATCGGCTGAAAGTGATGCAATCACCGCGTCATCGTCATCCTTGCTGACTTTTTATCAAGATATTAGGCGCGATAATGCACCACCATGAAAAAAAGGTTGCCTTTGTTTTGAGTTCATGCTACCACCATGAAAAAAAAGATGACATTGGTTTGTAAGTCATGCTTATATCGCAGTCTGGCATTAGGGGCGGTGGTGATTCCACACCAAAGCGTGGAAGCACTGGATTCGAGTTCTGCTCTACTTGGAGCTTATTAGCAGTACACATCATTAGCTATGCCGGGATTTGAACGTTGGATATCTGACATGCGGGGCGAGCCTGTTAGCACGTACTCCAGACCTGTGCATGATGTATTCCTTGAGTGATACACGCGAGCCAGTCTGTATCTTCAAACCCCGACACTGAAAAGAATTTTTTGCTGATAAACTGGATCGGTTTTGTGTCTTCGGGTTGCAGAAAATGCGATATCGGAAAGCTATGACTCTAGCCTATTTTAGTATAATCAATTCAGATCCTTGAATAATTCGAGCATTCAAACGCTGGTTTCACCGACTGGTGTCATTTCCGTATATTCGCGTCGTGAACTTCAACAACAATTTCATTCTATCGCACTGCTTCCTGTGTGAATCTCTATGCAAGCCCTGGTTTCCACTAAATTAACGAAAGAATATGACGATCTGATAATGGGATCAGAGACTTTTGAATAGGGCATCGTTTCCCTTGATCCATCTACCATAACGAAGAGTTCTTCATGCCTAATTGAGTTCGAGATAACATGTGATAGTATTTGCTGATAAGACGTCTTGAATCGGAAAACAATGTGTTCCTTCTGCCAAATTCTAAACTCGGCCCGAAATATTACAAAAATTAATCTTTATTCATCATCATCATCATCATGAGACGAACGCTGGAAGGTCTCCAAAACCCCGGTGTTCAAATCGCCTGTGACGCCTTGCCGATCTGGAATACGCAGACGAAATCGTTCTCATCTTC